TGATTAGAAATACAATTTAAATTTGAGTAATTTTGCAAAAATTCTTTCGCAAAACATGCAAACTGTTTTGTAAAACGCTTCACAGTGCACAATTTAGGAGTAAAAAATACCATACAGCCTAAAGGTCGTAGCGCCGTATTAAATTCGAAAGCAATCATGGCTGAAAGCCAGGGCATTTTTAATTACCTTCTTCAACATCCACAAGTTGATCTTCGATATTTCTAAAGATGGTTTCATGTTTCGTGATGGTGACATGGGAATCGCCGGTCTTTCTCTTCATACGATCAAGTGCTTCGCGATATTCGTTCTGCAACTCGTCACCACTTTTTACGGTCATTATAGTTAATATTAACAGAGCTGCTAATTTTTAATATTAATGCGCACTGTTATCTTTAGCACTATCGTTGAGCTCCCAGACTGAGAAATTCCAGACTCTAAAATATACCAAAAATCCTAGGACCGTCCTCGCAATTGGTGTGAGGATCCCACGTTAGTGATATTACTTGAAAGTTCCCATGCGTCCAACGGAACAACGCCAAATCACTCAGGACCAGAAGTTAGCATACACTTTTCAAAAAGTCATCTTACTCGTTCAAGTTCAAGCTTTTCGATGCGACCAATCAGCTTCTGTATGTTGAGGTCGAGCCCATGGAAGTCAATTCGTTCTTTGTCTTTTTCTAGAATGAAAACAGATTTTCTAATTTTGAGATACAGAAATAAAATAAAAAAAAAGATTAGCGATCCACTTGCGAAGGAAACAGTTGTAGGAGGGAGCCGAGTCACTTCGCCACTGAATAACAGCAGAACATTAGCCAGGACTTTGGTATGATATTGTCAAGGATATAATAAAAATCTAATTCAGTCCACTGCATATGCTCAAAAAAGTTTTACCATCAGGTGCCGCTTGCAAATGTTGGACCGTTTCTTTGCCTTCTTCTGGCCCTTCTTCCTGAAATGGTTTTTTTTAGAAAGTTTTCTGAAATTTCAGCTAGAAAATCTGCTATAGAAAAGCACACAGGCCTCTCTACATCCGCCAGTTCGTACAGTGAACGAAAGCTTGTTCTAGAAACTCACTTTGCCAGCCAGAAAACGATTGATGGTAACTGTTCGGTCGACCATCGACTGAAAACGACGCAAAGCATCCTGTAGCCGGTCACGATCATTTTCAGCCACCATATAATTCTGTTGCAGAGTAATGAGATATTGCTCGGCGTTATCCAGTCGTGACTGTAAAAAAGTTATGCATCAGGAACTGCCACAATTAGGAAATCGCAGTAATTATCTTCTTTTTTTGCCAGTTCTTACGTGGTAAATTTTTGCTTCATATGGCTCGTTTCGCAAAAAAAAAAGTTTTTCGCAGCGCTGTTTATTATCTACAGTAGTTATAGGCGGTCCAGGCCGGTCGCCTGAGAGGGAGAGAAGGGCGGGGCGATTTTCTCCTCCCTCCCCTCCCCAAAGAGAAAGCCACCGATGCCTACCAGCTGGTAGTTGTTGGCATTTACTTTCACTCGGACAATTTTCTGTTCGTCAC